GTGAAGCAGGACCTCCCTTTCATAAACCCATGCTGGCTGAGCCTGATCCCCCGGTTGTCCCACACGTGCCGCGTAACGGCACTCAAGATGACCTTCTCCATGACCTTTCCCGGCACCGAGGTCAGGCTGACAGGCCTGTAGTTCCCTGGATCCTCCTTCCGACCCTTCTTGTAGATGGGCGTCACATTTGCTAACTTCCAGTCATCTGGGACTTCCCCGCTTGACCAGGACTGCATGAACATAGTTCATGCTTGCATGGTGCAGGGCTTGGAGTAGTAGATGCTGCATCCAAGGTTACTCACAGGCCCAGGAGATGCAGCTAACAATTATGTATGTGGTTGAATCAGACTGAGAGGAGTGAGTGCTGCTGGGGTCAACTGGTGCATCATAGGCATTGGTTCTTACATCCACAGTTTAATAGGCCAACAACTTTCTCTCCCTGCCCCCATGGGATTTGCTGCCTCGCCAAGCCAAAGAGGTCCCCAGCTTGTCCAGCATAGAAAGAAGTTGTTTGGAGCCTGCGTTGTTTGGGTTTTGTTTGGTTGTTTTTTTTTTTTCAGTTGGATGTTTTAAATTTATATTAATTGCATTTTCCTTTAAAAACTATCTCAAAGATGAAATAATCACAAACTATCTTGGGTCTAAAGTTATTTGGATATGTTCAAATATACAAAATAAGGTATTAAAATAGTCAAACAGTACATGTTATCTGATACAGTTTGTAAGAAAAATTCTCATATTTATTTGGGAAATATGACTGGCTAAGCATCTGGAAGCAGTTTATTTCAGTGCTTAAACCAGGTTTTGATCCAAGGTGCCTCTTCTGCAAGTGAAAAGTGAGTTCCTTCATTTCAGTTTATTCAACAAGTTGAATTCAGTGATTAGTTCAGATGGAATCAGGGAACTGATTTGGAGCTGAAAAAATAATCTATCAATACAAAAGAGGCCTGAAGTCTTAAAAAAGCAGCCAGTGCAATTTACTAACTGTTTATAATGCTTGAATATTTCTTGTATTTCATAAATCAGTTAGTTCTAAACACAAAACATAGTTTGTTCACACACACCCTATTTCTTTCTGCTCTTATGGTTCATTATGGTAATTTTATTTAAGTAATGAAAACAATTTCAGAATGCTAGTTTGGTGCACGTGCAGTCGGATGCAGGTCTTGTTCCAGCCAGAGCCTGGCACAGAACAGGCATTAATGAGAAAAAAGAAAATCAATACTCCTCTAGTAAATAAGAAATGCATTGGTTCCTGCATCCTTAAATGGGGACAGTGTGAAGACAGGACTGGGAATATGCACAGACTGCTTGCCATTGGGACACCTTCCTTAGAGTTTTGTGCTCTCAGGAAGGCCACATTTTGCTGTAATCCTGGCTCAGGGTGAGTGGTTCCCAGTAATGTGAGTAAGGCTTGCTTCAGGGGAATCACTCCAAAGACAATGTGGTGGCGAATAGATGAGATTATTTCAGGGTGCTTGCTTTCTGGAGTCAAGTGGTAGCGAACCCCTTTGCTGTCAGTCAGTTCTGCCTGCCTGCAGAGACCCTGCTCTGGGGCGTGCCTCGGAGTGTCCCACCTCTGCCCTAAAAAGGGCTCTCTCCTATCCCAGCACTGCCCTGAAGACCCCCTTCCATCCCAGCTGCTTTGCTTGTGCCAGCTTACAGAGACAGCAATGCCATGAAATTGGGGAATTCCTCTTCTTTTTATGCAACAACAATAATCAGCTTTTGTGTGGAGGAAACTAAGAGAAGGTTTAGCTAGCCATGAACTTTTCAGAGTTACCAGATTCTCCAGCTGAGACCTGGGCCAAACTGGCTTACTGACTCAGCCATTTGTGGATGAGGCAGGTTACTTGAGTGGTATTTTTGTTGCAGAGCAGACAGTGGGATACGGTTGCAGTTAATGTAAGGAGGATTTGTTTTTCTTGGGTTTTGCCATGCGCCACCCCCCAGCTCCTCCTATGGAATTGTACAGTTTCCAGAAAGCCGTGCCTGTTCGTTCCCCCCCACCCCACCCCCCACCCCGCTCTTCTTGCTTGATGGTGAAGACAAGGCTTATAAAGGGGCTGGATAATTTCGCATCCAGAACTAAATCTTTGTTGCTGCTGTGCTCTGAGTGCAGTCTGATTTAATCTTATGCTCCAGTGCACCAACTGATGGCCAAACAGGACCAGAAGGATTTTTTTCTTCTTTCTCCTAACCTTCCTCCCAACCTCATGTCCCACCCTCCCCACACCTTCTTTTTGCATTGTGCATCTCTGCCTAGTCAGGTGTATTACGGGCCCACAAGGAGCTGCCATCTCCCAACCCCAGGGTGCAGGCCGCTGCCTGAGGAAAGACTGAGCTCAGTGGATCATGGGGCAGACCTCAGACAGCAGAGCATGCCATAAGAGGTGGGCCTGGACAGACACCTGGTTGTATGGCAGGGTGCACGTACCAGGATGAGCTCCGCATGTCTCCCAGCAGCATGGTCTCCTTGTTGAGGCTGGGCAAAAGGAGAGGGATTTGGACCCCGTTCCTCAAGGCAAAGCTGTGTTAATACCTGGCACTGTCCCAGGAGAAGTGGCAGTGGTCAGAGAAGGGGCTGTGGCTGGGAGGAAATGTCGTTGCTGTGCCTGACAGAGCGGTAGGGCCTGTGGTGAGAGGGTGCTGCTGGGCGCCAGGAGCACACCCCTTTCTCTGCCTCCTAACCCACTGCAGGAGCTCTGAGCAGGAAGGGCCCATCCCGATGGCCCAGTGCACAGCTGAGTGAGCAAAGACCCCTCAAGGCAGCTGGCCTGCAGAGAGGGCGAGGGTGGGTGGAGGGCTGCCCGGCTATGGCCCTGGCTTTGGGGAGGAGGCCCGCCTAGCCGTGTCTCCCGGCTGCAGGGCAGGAAGCTGTGCCCAGCTCTCGGGGGCTTCCACGCATGGCCTGGCCCAGGCCGTCGACCCGCCGCTTGAGTACGTGGCTGCAGGGAGCTCCAGGCCGACCTCGGGGGCCCCCGGGCGCGGGGACCGTCAGCCGGGCGGGGCGCAGTGCTTCACAGGACGGAGACGACGCCGCCTGCCTCAGCAAGTCCCGCTGAGTCGCTGGAAGCTCCGGGGAGGCAGCGGAAGCCCGGCGACCCCCAGGGGCGGGGGGGGGGGGGGGGGCGGCCACGGCGCCGCGGCCCGGCGGTGCGGCGTTGATGGCGGGAGGCCCCCAGCAGCGCGAGGCCCCCAGCAGCGCGAGGCCTGGGGCGAGCGGAGCCGGCCACTGTACTGTACGTGGCTCTGAGCGGAGTGAGGCCCCTGGGCAGTGCGAGGCCCCAAGTGGCGCAAAGCCCTGGGCAGCATGGGGCCCTGATTGCATGGTCCTGCCTTGCAGCTGATGCAGCAGCAGACAACGGTTCTCTCCACCTCCCACGGCAGCTACCTGAGCCCAGGCGTCGCCTTTTCCCCTTGCCACATCCAACAGATCGGTGCCGTCAGTCTCAACGGGCTGCCAGCCACTCCTATTGCACCAACATCAGGTGAGGGCCTGGTGCGGGCCAGGACACAGCAAGTCCTTCACTACCAATGAACCTTCTGCCCCAGCACTAAGCACGGTGCTCGTACAGGTAAAACAGTTCCCACCTCTCACCATCTGGATTAGGCCACTCTTTTCTAGCAGTGCAGCCTCTGAGGGCAGCAGTCCCTAGTCCTGCACAAATTTCTGCAACCTCCCTGACACCCTTGTGTTCAATGCACATTCTCTTGCTCTATTGCTGTTCCTCTCTGCTGCAGTTTTTCCCCTTGATATAGTAAAGAAGGACCAGGTTCCCAGGATTGTACCTGACTCTGAGTACAGCAGTGCTATTATTCATTATCATCATCCCACAGTTACAATATCAGCAATAATGCATATTGGGTTGGAACACCTGTCAAGAACAGGGCTGTATCATGATAGGTGCTGTACAAACCTGGATTAAAAATGTTCCATCCCAAAGCTCTGACAGCAGCCAGGACTAGCAATGCTGCATACACTCTTCTCACTAGTGCTGCCTCTGATTTTGTGAAGGCTCCAGCACTAGTCTGTCACCTGCATGTGCCAGCTAGAAGACATGATAGCTTTATACATAGCAGTCTTATAACGGCTAACAGATAATAGCTTTATACATACAAGCAGATGGAAGGAGGGAGCGCAGGCTTTGCAGGACCTCGACTCTCATGGGATGTTCTCTCTTGCTCTACAGGGCTACATTCACCGCCTCTCCTGGGAACAGCAGCCATGCCAGGACTGGTGGCACCCATTTCAAATGGGTTCACTGGAGTGGTACCATTCCCAAATGGGCATCCAACCTTGGAAACAGTTTACACCAATGGCCTTGTGCCATACTCAGGTACGGAGAGCAGGAAAAAAAAACCCACATCCAGAGACCTCAGGAACTGCAATTAGCTCCTCTTTTCTGGATTCCCCACACAAAACACTAGCTCTGTACCGGCCAGGCACTGAGACTCACTTGGTAGGGGGGTTGGGAGTGGGGGAGAGAGACAGAGAGAACACATGAGTGATTCCCTTTGCTGTGCTTCTGATTATGTTCTTCTCTGCAGCCCAGAGCCCTTCAGTAGCAGAGAGTTTGCACCCAGCCTTCACAGGAGTTCAGCAGTATGCAGGTACCAGCTTCCCTTGTCTCCCTCAGGCCCTTGTGTGGCTGACCAGATCCTCAGGTAAACAGTTTGTTCTGTTTCCTTGGAATACAGCTGTGTATCCAACCACCGCCATTGCTCAAAGCATCCCTCAGCCACCTCCCATCCTGCAGCAGCAGCAACGAGAAGGTGAGGATCAGGGTGGGAATGTCTGTGTCTGGCGGGGGGGCGGGAGGAGCAGGATTTGTGTAGCTTGTCTTCTGCACCACAGAACAATGGAGAGGAGACAGCACTAAACTTTGTCTACTCTAATCTTTAATATTGGAGCTGGGTTACGGAACCAACAATGTCTCTGCAGTAAGTGGACTGGAAGGGTTCAGAGGATGCTTGTCATGCAAACTTTTTGAGCTCATCCCTGGCCAGATGCTGCCAAGTACAAAGGGGACAGCAAGCACTAGAACACCAAGCTTTGACACCAAAGGGTATAGAGTGAGCACCTTCCCTACGCAGGCAGGGGAAAAGAGCACTTCCTCCCCATCTTTATTGATGCCAGAACCACACTGGTACCAGTCAAACCAGCCTCTCCAACATACTGTCCTCTCTCTTCAGCCTTCCTAACTTCACAAGTTTGTTTTTCAGCTTATTTTGAAACTGGCCTGGACAGAATTTGGAGGCAAAGGCATTCTCTGTCTGCTCCTGCTTCATACAGCAGGTGTCAGCGAGGAAACAGCTCCCTGTGCTCATCAGGCTCACAGGGAGCAAGTGAAGGAGTGGGCAGGACCAGGTCAGCCCATAAATTGGATGTATGGCAATCCAGATTTCCAGTTGGGGCTGCGGCTTATGGGCTGAAGGCAACCACTGCATAGCTGTGGGCAGGGAATGCTAGAGCAGCAGCTTTCACATAGTAGTGTCTGCTGCCCCCCTAGGACTGGGAGAACTATGAACAAGGAGCTAATTTCCTTCCAGCGAAACAGCACCCAGACACTCACAGTTGTTGTGTCCAGCACCCCATGTGGGAGCTGGGCAAGCTGTGAATCTGCTTTCCGGAAACTCTAGCTCTGCATATTGCCTCCCAGCTGCTCTTAAGAGAGCCCTCAGAACCCTTCACGGACCAGTGGCTGAGAGAAAAAAGCAAGGGGAGGGCGAGACAGAAGGAGGCAGTGCTGGGGTTCTCCTCCAGTGCTGTGCTCTGAGTTGAGCCCATTTCTCTACCCATTGCCCCCATGCCTGCAGGTCCTGAAGGCTGCAATCTCTTCATCTACCATCTCCCTCAGGAGTTTGGAGACAATGAGTTGATGCAGATGTTCCTGCCCTTTGGCAATATAATTTCTTCCAAGGTATTCATGGATCGTGCCACCAACCAGAGCAAGTGTTTTGGTGAGTGCTGACGCCAGCAGGCAAGGGAAGCATGATGGATAATGAGGACACTCATGCATTGGGCATGGCACCAACAGTGCTGTTATTATCTATGCCTGTGTCCTGTCCTTCAGGTTTTGTAAGCTTTGACAACCCATCCAGTGCACAGACTGCTATCCAGGCCATGAATGGCTTCCAGATTGGCATGAAACGTTTGAAGGTCCAGTTGAAACGACCCAAGGATGCTAACCATCCCTACTGACAGCAGTGAGCAAGCAGGAGTCACTTCTGCAGCACAGGTAAAGCTGGCACCATCACAGCACAGTTCCTGCACAGTGCTGGCCAGTGTCAGGGGGCAGCAAGGTCTGGCTGCTCCCTATGGGGTGGGAAGCCAGGAGCTGAATGCAGTAACACAGCTAGCAGGGCAGAGGCCTTGCCTGCCAGGGCCCAGCCCCCGCACCTGAGCAAGGCAACCAAGGCAGGCCTGGAGGTGATGGTCAGGTTCAACGAAGAGTCTAGCTCATCAGGCAAGTTTGTGGCAATGTGGCAGGCCCAAGGCCAAGTCAGAGTCAATCTGCAGGTCAAGATCAGGATCAGGTCTGTTGAAGGTAAACAGGGTCAGACATAGTCCAGTCATTGCCCGGCAGGTCTATAATAAGAATAATAAACAGATCCAGCATCAAGATGGGAAGACAATTCAAGGGTTGGAGTCCAGGTAATAAGATCCCTGGACAGGACAGGTCCATGGACAGGTGGAGACTGGTACTTCTGCGATGTAGATCTAGACTGAAGGACTGAAGGCACTGGCCTGAGCTGTAATGAGACTCCTGGGCCCATGGGCAGAGAATGTGGACAGAAGTCACAGGTGAGGCTGGTCAAGGCCGTTAAGGCCTTTTAGTGCACTCAGGGCCCTGACAGGCTGATGGGTTCAAATTACCTGCCTGTGGTCTAAGCAAGGTTTCAGTCCACTTCCTGACTGCTCCAAAAAAGTGTTCATCTTCTAAAAAGGTTTTAAAACCCAGTAGTTTTGTTTACAATTGTTACATGTGCCCTGAAATTAGTCTGCAGAGAATGCTTTCCAGGGTAAGAAGGGACAATCCTATGATTCACAAGGATCACAGAAAAGCAGAGAAAAAGTGAAACCCTGAAGGGCCACAGAAGAGTTGCCTGACATGAGAGCTGGCTGTCAAAGAGCTAGCTCCTATCAGCCAACAGACTGGGAGCAAGGGAGGGCTGACCTTGGTCCCTTCTAATTGGGGTCATCTTCCTCCATGTTTAAGCAACAGCAACTCAAAGCCTGAGGTTTGCATAGATGTCCTCCTAATCTCCCAATTCCCTTCCTCCTCCCTTTCTATTCAGGTGAAGGGAAAGTCCAGAGGAAGAATTTCTGCTTCAGGTTGATTTCAGAGAGGCCAGTAAATTTATCAACTCTTTTGGCACCGCCCCTTTCCTTCCTCTGCTCCCCACCTACCCACCCCATCCTCCTTCGGCCCTCCTCCCCAAAACATGCAATTAAAGAGACGGCTCAATATCTGCCCAGCAGGAAGATTCTTGCCACGACGGACATGTTTGCTGCTAATGCGGTGCATAGCAAAGGGACCAGAAAACCAGCAGCCCCTGGGGACCCGAAGCTCCTTCTCTCGGGGTATGCCTGGAGTACATGGACCAAGAAAACCCACTGGTGTGTCTCTAGGTTACTGCAGTGATGTATGGAAACTTAGCTCTGTCCCTCCCTCCCTCCTGCCCTGTTTCTTGGCCTTTCATAGAT